ATAGATAGATAGATAGATAGATAGATAGATAGATAGATAGATAGATAATGGATTCTTGGACTGAAAATCTTGGGATTGCTATGCAACTAGTGAAGATGTCTGCATGACTTCAAAGGATTAATTTCTGGAGCTAAGGCTCCTTCTCATAGGTCACACATAGGTCCCAGTCACACTGGAGGCAGGCCTGAGAGAAGATCGGTTGCTGCTTCCTATGGAAGGGGATAGCTTCATCCCAGTTTTGGTTCTGTCTTTTTCCAAAGAACATGTGAGTCTATCAAATTTAAGACTCCCTAAATATACAACTCTCCTTTTTAATTTTCTCCCAATTTTTATTTACTGCTAACATTCCCTAACATTTAAAACTGGATTAAAATATTTTATAAATCCAAAACAAAGAGATCATTTTCAGAAGTAGCTTAAGCATATATTTTCTTAATTCATTGGAGTACAAAAAGGAGGAAGTACAGCACAATCAGATTTGCAAGATTCAGTTATTAGTCAGTAAAAGTAGTTTTAGTCTGCAGGATCCAATCTGGGTCAGTCACTGGAACCAGAAATTTAGTCTTCTGAGTTTTTGGACTCGTGCTGGAGCTCATCCTCAAGGAACTTCTCTCTTTCCAAATGGATCAAATCAAGCATTAGACTACCCTTTGAGACATAGAATAAGGGTGCCCCACAGGACAAATGGGCAGCTAATAAGCTCCTAAGAGACATCTATAGAGTGGGCTCATGGTTCTCCCATGTTCTCTTCCACTAAAGCTAAACTCTTATGCCTTGGCCAAAGCATCCTTTCCAGCAAAAGTACTCCCCTCCCCCCAATATGTGAGGGACAACTTTGATTGTGTTACACCATAGGGTGCCTCAGCTTCACTGTAGGAAAATGATTCACTGAAATTGGAGAAGTTCCAATTTCTATAGTGGAGAGAGGCCATTCGGTCCACCTACCTATTACAGGAAGGAGGGAATGTTTACGGAAAATTGCACATCACAGACCCCTTATTTCTTCTTTCTCAAGTGTGTGTTTGCTGAGATTGCTTTCTGACTTGTCATTCTGAGACTGGGAACCAAAGTATTCCCTCTCACAGGAAGTAACTTCAGAACTCATCTAGACACTGCTCCCACAGCAACTGGGCAGGAGATATTCTATTCTAGAAGATGGATCTTCATGGTAAATCCAGCATACCAGTTCTTACTACCTAGCAATTTTATTACTTTGTCTGACCTTAGCCTGTCATGCCATTTTCTCACAGGATGTTTTTTTCAATTTATGTGGTATGTAGTATCCAGATTATGACATTTATTTTGCTTTCAACAACTCTTTACAGGCCAGCTCTGGAGTCAAGCAGTGGAATAAGCGCTGGTTTGTATTGGTGGATCGCTGCCTTTTTTACTACAAAGGTATGAGGAAATTCAAGTTTAAAATTAAATATTAAAATTACATTTAATTATATATTAAAATATAAAAGTATAAGGAAACTCCCAGATGCCAAACATAGTTTGAAAGCAATGGTAGGAATGTATACATTCATTTTCTGTATATCTTATCAAACTAGAGTTTCACCTTCACACCTGGTGCTATTGAGGAACAGTATTGCTATTACAGGAGAGACTGATTTATTTTTTATCTGTAAGGGATGCAATATTTTCATATTGGTTTAGGAGAGATAGGAAAAGCAATATTTCTTCACAGCAAAGTATATACTTGAGAAATGCCATTCTAGACCATGAAATGTGATAATTGCTGCCAACTGGATGGTTGTAAAGGACACAACCCCATTTTTTTGATGGTAATTACAGAGCCTGCAGTTGTATGATCAAATATTACTGGATAACCCATGAGCCATTGGGACACTGTTTCAGAGATATTTGCTTACTTAAGCAAAAAAAAAAAAAATAGTATGAACATGGGTGGACAAAAAAGCAGTGGGAGCAGGAGCAAGTTCCAACTTCCCACCAACTTCCCATTGACTTCACTTGTGGGAAGGTAGCCAGGAGCATTGGAAGTTATGATAGTATGACCGCGGTGATGCAACGACTACAGGGCAGTATGGTGACACTGCAGTGGCCACAACTTTGCCATTGCAAGTGGTATGAAGATCCTTGAAATTTTAGTCCCACAATGGGCCTGGATCTTTGGATGCATTCTTTAAATTAGCCCATTGGAGGTATCTTGATTCAAAAAAAATAGTTCCTTATGAGGCATGCTCTCTGCCAATTGTGGATTACAAATAGACAGACAGAAGAGTTGATGTACAAGTGAAAATTGTAGAAGTGTTACTGAATTTATGTCTCAGCTGGCTGGCTATTACCTAGCTGGCCACTATGAGGATAGAATGCTGGATGAGATGGTCCTTTGATCTGCTGTAGCAGGATTCTTATGTTTTTGTAATATTATTTTGTAATAATGTACTGTTAACTCTTTCGGGGCAAACAATATACCAATAGTTTTCCAGTAATACATAGGAATAATTTCTCAGATGAGTGATGACCCTTCCTTCCTTCCTTCCTTCCTTCCTTCCTTCCTTCCTTCCTTCCT